CTTGGGCAGGCTGAGGGGACAAGGCCTGGGTGGCCTGGGTGCCTCCAGGGCCCAGGGCCCCCTCCAAGCCTGTTCCCAGGCCCGGGCGGCTCTGCCAGCAGAGGAGAGGGTGCAGGCAAGAAGGGACCGGGAGGCTGGCTTGGGAGTTGGGTTCCCCCTCTGGCCCCCACGTGGCGCCCTGCTTGAGGGGCTCCCTGTCTGGACCTCCCCTCAGGCCGGTGCTGCTGGCAGGTGCCACCCTGAGGCCAGGCCTCGCCAGGGAGGTGCCCTGGCTGTGGGGACACGGGTGGGACCCACGCCCAGCCCCTGCGGTTGGAACTGCAGATCCCCCGCAGGGGAAGGGCCCCGGGTGGTCAGGGCCCTCGGAGCCCCTTCCCTGCGTCCTGTGTAGCCGGAGGGAGGAGCCAGGAGGGAGGAACCTCACTCAAACCCAGAAACGCAGCCGGGCGGGCGCGACGCAGACACAGACAAATGCCCGGGAACAGCTACCCGGAGCGACATGCATGGTGAAGACCGAGTGACAGCCGCTGGCTGGGCGGGAGGCAGAAGAGGCCATTTGCTTATTTGCCTTTGTTGATTTTGGGGACAGAGGGGGAGAAGCAGCGATCTGCTGCTCTACTTGTTCCTGCATCACTGTGCCTCTTGCTGTGCCGGGAGCAGGGGTGGACCTGCAGGCTTGTGGTGTGGGGACGACGCTCTAACCCACTGAGCCGCCGGGCCAGGGCCCGAGGAGCCGTTTAGAAGCCCAGGCTGGTCTATGGGCCCCTCACAGCAGGACCCTGCCTTGGTCTCTCTCCGTTTAGCGCCTGCTGAGGACTCTGCACCTGCTTCTGAAATGAGGGGGCTGCTGGCCCTGGCCTGTCCGAGGGCAGGCAGGTGCGACAAGAGCCAGCAGCCCCCATCGCCCCCTCTCCACCCCCTTGCATCGGGTCGGGATGGCCCTGCCGGGGACTGGATTGTCCCCGGACTCCACGGTGCAGCCCTCACCCCTGATGTGATGGTGTTTGGAGGGGGCTCTGGGGAGTGGTTCGATTTAGCTGAGGTCACGTGTGTGGCTCTCAGGGGGGGATTAGTGCCCGTATAAGGTGAGACCCCAGGCCTGGCCGCCTTGGCTCCGTTGATAGGAGCTTCATCTTGTACAGCAGAGGGTCATGGGTCTGATTCCCAGTCAGGGCACATACCTGGGTTGCAGGTTCGGTCCCCGGTTGGGACACGTACAGGAGGCAGCCAGTCGACGTTTCTCTCTCTCCCTTCCTCTCTCTCAAATCAGTGAGCATATCCTCAGGTGAGAACCGAGGAAAACAAGAGACATCAGAGAGCTCCGTTCCTGTCTCCATCACATGAGGACACAGGAGAAGGGGGCTTCTGTGGGCCAGAAAGGAGCCCCCAGGAGCCGAACCTCTGGGACCTCGATCCTGGTCTCTAGCCTCAGAGCCGTGAGAAACAAGCGCCGCTGTTCCACCCCCATCTCCGGTCTTTGGTGACAACACCCACATTCATGACGAGAGCTTTGCGCCAGGCGCTGTACAGGGCTCAGCTAGATTGTCAAACCTTGGTGTAAAGGTGCCACAGCTTTTGACATGAATCTGAGTGAGATAAGCCAGTCAGAGAAGACAAGTGTCAGGATCTCACTCATGTGGGGAATCTAAGCAACAAATTAAAACTGACGAACCAACTAGATCCAGAGACATGGAAGCAGGGAACAGAGTGCGGAATCTCAGAGGGAAGGTGGGGGAGGGTGGGTGAGTGGGAAGGGATCAACCAAAGACCTTTAAGCCATGGTCACAGACAATAGGGCGGTGAAGGCCTGGGGTGGGGGCCGGCTAGGAAGGGTCAATAGGGGAAAAGGGGGCATCTGTAATACTTTCAACAATAAAGATAGAAAACAAGATTTGCAGCCCTTCACTCGCCTTTGAGGGGGTTCATTCACATTTAGGGAGAGGGCAAAGAGCTGTGGGGTACCAGCCTGGGCCGGGGGCACGGTGGGGGGGGGGAGTCGAGGAAGGCCCCCACGAGGTGGTGGTGGAGTTGAGCTTTGGAGGACGAAAGGGGGCGTAGGGTCTGTGGGAATCCGAGTCAGAGAGAGCCAGCTTCCTGCCTGGGGAGGAGGGTGGGAGGAACCACTGTCCCACACAGCTCCGTGCGACTCGCTCAGGATGGATTTTGTTCTGTCGGCAAACCCTCCTTCCTTCCCATCGGCCTGTTGTGCAAAGGCTCCTAGCCAACGCCATCTTCAACTGGCTATGTGGTTGGCAACACAACACAACACACAGCACAACACAATACAGCACACAACGCAACACAGAACACAATTAGCTGGTGATACGCATTTGCACCTGCTCGTAGCCTGTGTGAGCCGGCTCGTTACTCTGCACAGCCCCGTGGGGGCCTGGGTATCGTCCCTGAACACAGAGGGGTTTGGAAAAGGTCAAAAGGGTCCCCAGCCCCCAGCTCGAGCAGGGGCGAGGGGAGAAGGCTCTTCCTCCGCTGCGTGCCCCCCCCCCCCCCCCGCAATGCCACAGGACTGCCCACGGCATTCTCCCAGATGCCTGTGGGCTTGGGGCCAGCGAGCCCTGCCTGGGGAAGAAGGAGGAAAGGACACGAGGCTATGTTCTCCCAAGTCCGCCTCCCCTCTGGGCTCAAGAATTCCGGGGTCTGGAGTTTAGAGTAAAAATCTGTAATTTGGGATCCAAGACAGGACTGTGGTTGGAGCATCTGGACTGGATACGTGGGGGCAGTTGACGTTGGCTCCAGCTTCCACAAGCTGCCAATGTTTCTCAACTTAAAAATGGAACAACAATGTTTAGGTCCTAACTTTTGGATGGTGGCTCAACTAAGTACTCTAGATGTGTGCGTGTGTGCAGGCGTGTGTGTGCATGTTGTGTGTGGGAATGTGTGGGAATGTTCGGTAGAAATGCCAGCTTTACCTTCACATACCTGGATCAAATCCTCAGAGCCCAGCTGTCGGCGGGGTGGGCGGGTCCCAGGCTGGGTGGGGAGGGAAGGACTAATGTCAACAACAAGCAGAGGTCAGACAGCCATCGAACCCCCGACCCAGGAGTTTCCGTGAGCAGCACTTCCTTTGTGCACAAACATCTTAATCACGTTGTTGTCGGGTAAAGTATTTTGATCAGAAGTGTTGACTGGGCAGTAACTCCGCTCCCAGCCGGTCCAGCAGCCTCCCACGCTGTTTCCAGTTTCCTGCCGGACTGGACCGATTGCGGGGCTCAGGGCGCTCATTGTAAACAGCATGAAACCTGAAGTTGCTCGGGGAGCTCTGGAGGGGCCAGGAGGGGCCAGGAGGGGCCAGGAGGGGTGGGGAGGAGGGGCAGCCAGACCCCTAAGGCTTCTCTCCCAGAACTGGGCCGGGGACGAGGGTGGGAAGCGGCCCAGCCTCACACAGGGGCCTGGAGGCCGATCCTATATGACAGGGCTGGCTGTGCAGCGGGCACGATCTCACCGTCCCTACACCTTGTTCTGAAACCCGACCTCAGCCGCAGAGGGAGACGTTGTCACCCTTTGACAACGAGCACC